GAATTTCCTGACAATGATACTATCTAATTATTCTAGGCTCTCATCCTGGGTGGGGACTTTCTATATCCTGTTGTCTAAGCCCTATTTTCAATCCAGTTCTAGAATACCAATAAAGGAGAATATTTATAGCTCAGGGTCGAAATGAGGGTCCTTGGTGTTCTCTGAGCTTGGTTGTTTTCTTGCAGACATTTCATTACCCAAGCTAGGTAACATCATCAGTGCTATCAGACCAGTTTGGGTAATGAAGCATCTGCAAGAAAACAACCCATCTCAGAGAGCACCAAGGACCTTTAAGCTCTAGAATACCCAGAAGGAAAAAAGCATAAAGGGATAAATATCATGTGCAGAACACATTAAATATTATAATTGCTTTGATTGCTTGTTTTGATGTGGATGTTTAGAACATTATGACTCCTACTGAACTAAATGCTAGAGGCAACTTGTAGTTACTTTTTCATGAATATCAAGAATATCTTGTAAGGAAGGGTCCAATCTCTGATGTTTTTTTCTACAAAATCATTTTCATGTTTTGAAGATGTTAGGAATTCAGACACATTTAGTAACTGATGTTTTACAAAATGTTTTTGTTATACAAAAGATCACGTAGTCCAGACGTGTGTGAATACTCAAAAGGGTTAGCTGAAATGGGAAGGGAGGCGCAAATAAAAACCCACGGGCTTGCAATAAATTACATACCTGACAATAAGCTTGAACAGACTCTCTTCAGCTTGTATTTCCTGGACTGCATAAAGATCTTTAAGTGAAAACTCCATGCATCCTTGCTGGTTTAATCCATGTTCATAATTCTTGATTTTCTGGCCTTTTGTATTACTGATAGAGTTTGCTTCAATGTATAATAGGAATACACATTTATCATTTTTATTTCTTGACGTTCCTGTTAAAATATCAATAGTAAGATCATGATAATCTTTCTGCTTTAGGATGTAACATAGGATATTACCTGGTTTGGGTAATGAAATGTCAACCCTGAACTACACATATTTTTATTTATTAGCTGGCTTTAAACACCGTTTTGCAAAGCATATTTATTTACTGCATTTGTACCCCGCCATAATCCAAGTGATACTTGGAGGCTTAAATGATGGAGAAACATTTAAAAAGCCACAATAAATCTTAAAATCCAGTAAATAAAATAAGCTATGAAATCCAGGTGAACCAAGGTAAAGTAACCATAAGATAAAAATATAAAAATGGCTAAAATTTCATGTTTAATTATAATGTTTTCTGGAAATGTTGAATTTTCACCATCCTGAATGATATCATACTGCTCCAGAACACTGCTCTGCCACTAAAAACTCAGCACCTTTTAGCTTCAGCTGTCCTCACTACCCAGAAGTAGAATACTAAGAGCAGTTTCTTTGTGAAAACACTATTTTCAAATAGTTGTGTACCAATATAGTGATCTCTTTGTTTTAATTTAAATCTCATGTTTGTAGTCTGACACTAATTAAGTTTCACTTTTGGCCCACTAATTGGGCAAAATACAAATATACACATAGCAACTGAATTAATAGCCATTTTTTAAAATGGATAAAAATACCATGCAGATGTTAATACACAAAATTTGATATAGTTCACCTTCTTCCGTGTTCGATACCTTGACAATTCCTGCAACAGTAATCACATCACCTGGAACACAACTATCTACAAGATCATGAACCAATTCACATTCTATTGTCCGAGGAATTCTCCCAGCTTCTCGCTGATCATCTGACATGAGTTCTTGAATTCTGGAATACCAAGTTAATAAAAAAGAAAGAAAGACATGATGCCACTGGTGGAGGAGAATGAAGATTTATAAAATATTGAGCATATATAGGTAGGTCAAAACAAGCATTCTGACTTTTGCTTTGGTTTCGGAGTACCAATATATTTCTGGCAAACACTTTTTAGAGCTGAAGATAGGTTGAAATGAATTATGAATCAAAGATCCACAAAATATTGCTTAAAATATGCACCCACCCACCCTCAGAAACATACACACATCTTAGGGATAAAAGAGAAGTACAAGTAGCCAGAGTTCAAACTAGATTTCTCACAATACCAATCTTACAGAAAAAGGACATTACTATCTCTGGATTAAAGAAAACTTTATACATAAAATGAGATATTTTATCTTTCAATGGAATTACTTATTCAATAGAACTTTTAACATTACAATAAAGAGATTGTACAATTAATTCCTCACATTTACTATAAAATCAAACTGTAAATAATCTAAATTTCCAAAATATTAGGGAAAATTATATATTTACTTAATCGACTGCCAGTCCACTGTAACTGTGTAAGGAGAACTTCTATCTGCAGTGAAGGATCGTCCATGACATTCAGGCAAAGAACACTGAAACACATTAATGTTCAAATTTAGTACAAAAGAAAGTTTATACCACAGCCATATTTGTTGTGTTTGTTTTGGAGAGGCTTGCACTTATACTTGATTAATTTTTCTTTTCATCATAAATAATACTCTTAAAATGAATTACAATTTGTAAAATCCCTTTTATCAAAGTATGATTCAGGTTCTTAAATGTGCAGTAAACCGCACAGCATGAAAATGTATTACTTTAAATACTAGTCACAAAAAGTAGGAGACAGAACTTTTTATTTGAGGGCTTTTTTATTACCTTTGTTGGAAGAGTGTACTTTCCATCAGGGAGAGGAAAACTCTGAGTATTTCCACAGGTGCTGCATATAAAAGCCATCTTGGTGCAGATAGGTTTAATGTTACTAACACGCACAACAGTCCCACGTAAAGCAACGTACTTCCCATAGCAATTAGCTCGAATATTCTTAATTTGAATAATTGGATCATAGTTGTACACTCTAAAAATATTAAAATATATTCAAATAAAATAATAATATACTGATAATTCAGTGAGAGTTCATCATGTTTAAAATAATAGTACTATTCATATAATAGCAATTGGTGAAAACAATGATTTGTATTATAAATTTGAGTGGTAATAAAAAAATTTAATTTGTCATAACTTACATGTGTCATGGATTTAAATGAAATTGAATTTCATTTTCTCTAAATGAAGCCAATGCATTATCTTTTTTTTAGAAGAATATACTGCATATATTAAAATAACATTTTTTCTATTGTGAGTCAGTCTTAGCACAAACAAATTATAATTGTAAAAATTTATTTCTATGTATCCACTTTCATTTATATGGGAAATTATTTTAGCAGACCAAAATTCAGTGAAAAGCTGCATGTACGTAGGCATTTGGATATTAATGCATGTTAATAGTTAATCATAATATTAAGCATAAAAACTTAAATCATAATATTAAGCATAAAAACTTCCTGGGATACAGTTTTCTTTATTATTTACTACATTCAGTTTAGGAATCTTTATAATGTCATAATTTTTATGCCTTCCAGAAAATAATAGATCCAATGGTGCAAAAAACCAAAACATTCAATAATGTCTTGAAATGTTTAGTCCTATTACTTCAAATAAAAATAGAATTTTCAAGCTGTAATACAAAATTCCAATTATATAGCAATCTCTGCAAAGCCATAATGGAAAATGTCCTTCCACAGATTTGGTGCAGTGATGAGATCTTTTCAAAGCAATGTTCTCCAAGGCAGAAAATAATTACTGCCACATGGTCTAAATCAGGAGTGTCAAACTGCCGGCCCGCAGGCCGGACACATCATGCGGAAGCCACGCCCACCCCATTGCCAGCAATGGCAAAACAGTCCCGATATGTTGTGCAACGTCACGTGACGTCACGAGTTTCACATGTCTGGTCTAAATGAAAGTTCTTATTACTTGCATTCTGGAGAAGAGCTATTTTAGGCACACTTAAGCCCATTTAATCTATTAGATCTATTTCTAAATAACATACTTCTCTTATTTCTGAGTAATTCATGGGCAACCCTGCAGATGTCTATTGTTGTGTCCTGAGCCTGCAAAGGCAGGCTCGGGACGTTGCAAGAGTCCCGGGCATTTGCAGAAGCTGCCCGGGACCAGACTGAGTGGCGCCGGCCTTGCGCACATGCGCAAGGCGGGAAAAGGTAGTATTGTGATTGGTTGAATTTGCCCGGGGATCTGAAGGTATAAATAGAGGCCTGCGTGCCTCTGCTCGGGTTGTTCGTAGAATGGAAGCAGAGAATAAAGACTTGTTAGAAATGCTTCGTCTCAAGCGCCATTATTCTCCGGACTTAACATCTATGATTTCTATAGAATAGTTTCCCAGGAGGGATAATATAGAAAATTGCATTTGCTATAAAGTAGGAATGAAAAAATATTTGGCCTCACAAATCAAATAAACAGGAAGATGCAATTCTATCAAGGCATTTCTCTGAACTAAGTGTGGCTTGCTGATAAATCTAAATGTGGGCAGAGAAATTATTCCTACATGCAGCAATACTATTACTGCTCATTATTTCAATTAGGTGAGTGAAGGACTGGTGTAGCTGGCTTGAGTCAGAGAAACCCCATTTTTGTCTGTTTCCCTTTTCAGCACCTTGCTCTGCCTTAAACGTTCCTGGAAAGATCATGTGGTTGCTATTATAAAAAGTATCATCCTTTCCCTAGAAGCAGTAGATTTAAATCTAATTCCCCTTTCTTTTTTATGTAAATTATTTAGAAAATTTTGTATAAGCTATCGATTAGAAACAGAAGGCCAAGGACAAGGGCTACAATATATTAGTAATGAACCCGCTTTCTAAGAGGGCCATCTACCTACCAGTGGTATGAATAACTTACTAGTTGTTGCCTATTGCTGCTAATTATCATGTGATTTTTGAGGTTTTTTTTGAAATGTATAAAAACCATGGTAATTTACTGTATGTTTCCGAGGTTCTTGATTTGTGACTTGGGTCCCAAGAACACTTCTTTGTTGCTATACAGCAGACATGTCAAACTCGCGACATCACATGACGTCACGCAACGTATCGGGACGGTTTTGCCATTGCCAGCAATGGGGTGGGTTTGACACCCCTGCTATACAATATAAAGAGGTTGAAATTTCCTGCTTTGTGTGTTAAATTGGCTCTTTACACCAGGTAAAAACAACATCAGCATTGACTGGGCCAATCCACAATTTGGTCAATTGACTACTGGTACAAGTTCAATATCAGTTTTCTGTGATATTCCAGAAATTAATAATATTATTAAAATTTTCTAAGATTTCTTATGCTATCATTTTCTCAAAAATGTCAGAGACTTAGAGTTCTTGCCATTTTGTATTCATATACAAGAAAGTGTACAAAACTTTTAAAAACATTTTCAGTTTGTCTCATAATTGAATAATTTAAAAAAATAGATACCTTGCATGAATATGTGGCACATTTATAATAGGCTCTTCATCAATGGGTAGCCCTTCTTGCTCTTGCAGTTTTGCAGCATGCTTTTCAAGGTCTTTGATCAATATCTAGAGAATAAAAAAGAAACTGCCTGAATTCCATTAAATAATTAATATAGAAATATCATTTTTAGAAGCAGATGGTGCTTTTAACCATCGAAGGGAAGATTTTTCTTGTAATTTGTTTTTCTTTTATACTGTAGTATGCATTGTCCCTGCTATACCATTCCAAAGGATCCCTAATCCCCACAACTGAGGTGGTTTGGAGGCCTCTGCAATTAAGAAACCAAACTATTTAGCATTGTAAAGCAAAATGTATGTTTGTAAAGCACCGCAGTTCCAAGTCCTAATGCAGCTGTGTTTACCTTTCATCTGCTTCTGTGTGTGAGAATTCTGATGTGAATATCAGCAAAGCTGCTGTGCATGCACACATGCGCAGACACCCAAACAGCCTTTGAAGCAACTACACAAGACCTTGAAATGATGGGACCGCTTTAATTCATATTCTGCTCATGCTAGCCTGCTTTTCAAAACCAAGGTAATCTTGCTTAACACAGATACAGAGGATTAACATACATAAGCAGGATTTCACTACCAAGCAGTTATAAAATGTTCATAATCCTTCCTTTTTTTTATTATCACGTCATTTACCCCAAGGATATAAACAAAATGGTTTAAGATTTGGGCTCAAACTTTATGTAAATTTCTAAGTCCTGTTGAATTCAGCCAGGCTTAATTTTAAGATATGTGCATGTATGGATCATATTATTATTATTGCTTTTTATATGAAGTGTAAATATATTTGTTCTCTCATACCAGATAAGATTTGCATTTTGTGAATAATAAGGCTTTGGAATGTAAAAATATCTATTATTTGTCTAGTGCACTTACCTGGTGTATGGCCAGACCCATGCAATCTAATATTTTTTGAGGCGTATCTCTTAATTCAACAGCAACATTGGGTAACGATTCCACTAATTCTTTATCACATATCAGTTCCTTATAATCCACAAGAATACTTCCTTTTCTTTCTATTTCATCCTATAAAATAGAGATGTGTTGAATTGGTGTTCAGTAAAGTTATAACTCTGTCGTTTACTCCATTACACATTATTTTAATCAGTCGTAAGCTGTTTAAGCGTTCTCAGATATTAAAGACTGCCAAAAATACCAATCGTGGATTTAACTGCCTCATATTCCAAAATACGCATCATTTGCATTATATGATGATGCTCTCACATGTTCTTTGTTCACTGAACATAGCAACACCACTGACTTATACTACCCTCTTTTCACTCTGAGCACAAAATAAAAAGGATAAATTATATAAATTTGATTGAAAGATAACATACACTGTGTAAATAGTTAAATATGTGAACAACAAAACGTGTATAGTTTAGGACAAGAAAACTCTTCCTTATTTTCTAAAAATGTCTTCTATTTGTCCATCCATCCAAATCTTAGCATTAAACATCAGATCATAGGGAACTGAAGAACAAGATTAAACAAATTTTCTAAAGGTTCTTACAGAATCAGTCTGCAAACTCTTAGGAAAAACCAAATTAAAACGTTAATAAATACCAGGAATACCTTGGATTCTCTCAGCATATAATTACAAGAAGCAAATATACAAATGTGCACGGTTAAACCAGCTTCAGAAAACAAAATTATCCAAAGCAACATATAATCTAATAACTTACCTTATCATAAAACTCTATTCGAGATTTGAAAAAAGTTTCAAAAGCTTCAGTCTTCTGAACAAAAGGTGAGTTGTCATCATATACTGAATTAGAGAATGTTGATTAATACAGTTAATATAGTTATGGCTATAGATAACATTGAACATATAAGAGCATATTAAACAAACTTATTATTGATTTTACAAGCCAATCTTTAATATACTAACAATACATTATATTTAGTGCAACTTTAAAAAGTTCTGCTGAGGATTTAAAGACACTCCATTAATATTTACAATACTAAGAATTTAATTTCTTCAGGTAAACATAATTTTGACCATCTTTTATTTTACAAGCATTACTTTGACTGCAATTGTCATAATTAATGAAGCTACATGCCAGAGAGAAATCTTATAGCTTCATTTTATGAAGTTTTAGGCATGCCAACAATAAGTAGAATTTACATGATACAGGTTTTAACCATCATGTGATGTAGCACTAAGTTATGAGAGAATTCATACGCCTTGCCAAGACCAATTACATTAAGGTTAGCAGTGTGTGTGAAATCCAACTACAAATGCAGAGGAATGATACAATGTTAACATTTCATTGAACACAGGTTTACTTCATCATACATATGAAAACTATTGAGCTGCATGATAAGGAAAGTCAATATAATACTATTGTATTTTAGGAGTTTTTATATTTAAAAAATTAAAAAATTAAGAACTTTTGATCATATTTTAAAACACATATTCAATTTATTCTTGATAGGGAGACTCAATTTTAATTTGTGTACCTTTCAAAATATTATATAACTTTATATAAGTTTGTTTATTGCAAAACAGCACAACTTACATGAACCATACTATTTCTGCATGAAACAAACCGTACTACTCAATATGCAAATCCAAATGTTTACCCAAAAGTATTCTGCTTGCATTTTATTTTTTATATAGTATCAGAGATATGCATAGCAGATTTGACATACCGAAGTCAGATTTAGACATTACATTAAATTGTAATGGTGGTGTTTTTTAGTGTTTTTCCCACTTGGTTGCAGCATTCACTTGATTTGCACTGCACTCACCTAGTCCACGCTCAAAGCTGTCAATGCATGATGCAATAAATCTTGTTTTTTCATTTGGCTTGTTGCAGAGTCTGAGGTTGATTAGAGCTGAGAGGGAATGAGTGGTCCAAGTTCATCCAATGAATTTCTGTGCACAAAGTCCCTCCAACTTCTAGTCCAGCACCAGCACTATACTACGTTAGCTCTTTCTCACTTTATGTTGTGATATTGTTATACTAAAATAAGCCACATGCTTGTTATTTCATCACACCAACTCAACTTCTTCAGTCAAATGCAATTTGCGGCAATATATGTGGGAATACGCCTCTGCCAATCCAATGTAAAGGTGATACTCCAGTCCTGGGTGCCTCATTCAGGCAGAGTAGGAATTTATGTGGACAGAACAGGAACAATTTCTGGCAGTGAGCCTTCTTTGTATGTGTTATTTTTTAAAAAAAAAAAAACTGTGACCCTGTCCTCAAAATTTGCTCATGGTTTCCCAGAGCATCATGACCTACAGCTTGTAAATTTCAACTCTAATCAGCTCTCAATTGTACCATATACAAAGAAAGAAAGCCCTCACCTTCAGAGAAATAAAGTTTCCAACCTTTATATGGAGCATCTTGGTCCAGAGTAGTTTGAATAAGATGAGGTTGTGCTGAAAAGTATCCCCTCAAATAGTCAGTGATAAAATTGAGCATTTTTAATTTGTTATTAAAAACAATTCATATAGATGTTGCAGCTGCAAATAACATCTAAAATAATAAAGATAATAATTGCCTGAACAGAGGGACAACCTGATCATAAGATTCAGCTTTAAAACTTTCATCTAAATTATAGCATAGTAATCCAGACTTCAGGCATTGTATTATGCTATTATAAGCGGTTTTTTTCCCCCAGAAACTTAATTTTTTTTAAGTCTCCAAAGCAAATAAGGTCATGCAGGGATGTGCCTGAGATATTTGGAATGACTTTGATTGAAACATTCTAGGTCTTTTCATTGAAACAATATCATTGGTGGCGCCCCCTACCTTTTGGAATTATGCCCCTCCCCGTACGGTTGGCCCTCCAGGAAGGCCAAGGAAAGCAGCCAAGGATAAGCAAAGTTCCCAACTGGTTGAGTTCAAATATATTTTATTTTTGACTGCCATTTCATTGTTTTAACTGTGTGAGAAGGCTTTAATGGTATGCATTGTTTTCCTGTTTTAGGTGACTTTTGTACACTGCTCAGAGTCATCCTTCTTGACTTGGGCAATCATATGAAGGCTATAAATATAGCTGTGGAATTAACATACCCGATGCTAATTTCTCGCCAGCATTTTTCCAGTTTTCTCTCTGTCCACTTCCTTTTCCTCTCCCTTGCCATCTTCCTCTTCTCCATCTTTGAAAACCCCCTCCTCCTCGTGCAGAACCTTTCCTGCTAGGCTCAGTATTCATCTTGGCATTTTAACAGATCTGCATTCTGAAGTAATTAAAAGACAATAGATGTGTAACATACATTAATGTTGGAAGTAGTTATTAAGGCAGACATCCATTTGTTTCTATGGTGGTGTTTGTACATTATTTTAAGTAGCCGTTTACTTCAGGTTCCTGACCTCTAGCCCCTCCACATGCCCCAAAGGTAAATACCCGGCTAAGTCTGTAAATCAAACTAAACCCTGGTTTAACTATTTTTTATTGAATAAATCATAGTTACTTTTGGACAATGTTTTACACTTTTGTTTACAAATGACAAATGATAAGATTCACACAATGTATCAGGCCCAAACCAAATCATGTTATTATGGATAAGCTTATATATGAATCTTAAGGTGACCAATCGTCCTCCTTTAGGGAGGACAGTCCTTCTTTTGTAAGTTCTGTCCTCTCTCGAAAAGCGTCCTCCTACATCTCCTCCTTTTCAATATTTGAAGACTAATCTCTAAATCTCCGTATTCGATCGATGCCAACCCGATCCGTTGCGTGTGGTGTGACGTATTTGTATTTGACATGACGATTCGTCAAGGCTCAGTACAGTGCAGCGAGACACGATTATGAGACGCATGCGCTCCGCACAGGAGAATTGTTTTGAGAGAGTGCGCCGTGCGCAAGAGTGCGCCGCACGCAAGTGGCTTTGTTTACTTCTTACCGAAACATGACACGGCACGCACACACACATTAGACTCACTTTTTTTTCTTCAATTTATTTGTGTCCTCTTTCTCATTGTAAAAAAGTTGGTCACCATATGAATCTTCAATATCGAGTTATCATTTCCACTGGGCCACGAAGAATAGCAACTCAACAACATTTAGAAAATTTCAATTCCCTGACTCCCATTAACTACTGTAGAAAGTTAGACTGATTTAGAGGAACTTCAGGTGTGAGCTAATGTGGTAAACCCATGATTCTTGGAATTTAATCCAATAGGCACAACACAAAAAAACTATCCAAATACATGTGTTACAAATCTATTTAGGACTCAATTAATACAGCCGGGGTTACTTTCAAATAAATTTTGATATCACTGCACCAACTATACCCTTTCACTGCAAGCGCAAAATCATTTTTTTAAAAAACAGTATACATGTAATTCAGGGGTCTTCCAACTTGGCCCTTTTATGACTTGTGGACTTCAACTCCCAGAATTCCTCAGCCAGGCATGCTGGCTGAGGAATTCTGGGAGTTGAAGTCCACAAGTCATAAAAGGGCCAAGTTGGAAAACCCCCTGATGTTAACTATTCAAAGAAAACATCGATTAAAACTGCTACTAATCAGAGGACCCCTTCTTTCCTTCCCAAGCACACTCCATGGAGTCAACAATTTTTAAAAAGGAATGTAACCCAATTATCGATGAAGCTGGTCAACCTGTATCTGGCGCCCGCAACTTCAGACTAAATGTACCCCTCATATAGTTCGGCGTTCCTCCATTTGAGTGAAACATAAAAGAAATATTCGGCCCTTCCGCGGGGAAATTCGACTAGATTTTTGTCTCTCGAACGCTTCGCTTTGGAGGTTCAAAGTCTCAGTTACCGCTGAATGCAGCAGAGAGAAAGACGTGAAAAGGTATCCGACCGAAAGCCGACTTGCCACAACGCCCCAAAGCGTCCCCGGTCGTCCGCACCTGAATCTCCTCCCCGTCGGTTCCCTTCGTTTTGTTTCGCTCTTCCATTTAATTTTGGCGCGGCGCAGCGAAGCCTCCCTCGGCATCGGGCGCTCGGAACCAATCAGAAATGACGCCGCTGCGCTTGCCGCGATTTCCGTAAGCGGGAAAAGGCAAGTCACGTGGGGTTCTTAACGTCCCTATCTCCGTCTTTCCCCCACCTCGGCGGCTTTTAAGGGATGTGGAACTTCAACTCCCAGAATTCCGTAGTACACAATGAGAATTATGGAGAATTCTGGCAGTTGAAGTCCATATCACCCTTTAAAGTTGCCGAAGTTGGGAAGCAGTTGCGTGCAGACGTCTTATTGATAAGGACGAAAGGAGTTGCTTCTCACGTGCTTTTCCTGCCTCTGTTGCTGGAGAAAGACTTAAGATGCTTGAACCGAGAAGGAAGTCTCCCTCCATTTGACTTAGGCTAGAGCAGGGGTAGGCAACCTTGGCTCTTTTATGACTTGTGGACTTCAACTCCCAGAATTCCTGAGCCAGCATGGCTGGCTCAGGAATTCTGGGAGTTGAAGTCCACAAGTCATAAAAGAGCCAAGGTTGCCTACCCCTGGGCTAGAGGCAACGAAATGATATATGATCCTAGCATATTGTGCCAATGTGCCCGATTTCTCATCGCTTCCCTTCCCAAAAGCCCTACCCGCAGGACAAAAGAGATTCTTTTCTCTTTCTGTAACTAGCCGGATTCTGGTTGTTTTTCCAAGTTTATATATGACCTTTATGCCTCCTAGCAAGTTAAGCCACTCCTAGAGTTGAAAGCTGCATTTTGAATGGAGCAAATGAATGATCGGACTAGAGGGCGCATGCTGTTAAAATATCTGTATGAACGCATCTTTCGTCCGTGGACTAGGAAATAATGTATCACTGTGATGAAACACTTATTTTAAAAAGGACATTTTACGAATGGAGGCAAACATACGTGTCTCAGGATCTCGCAAAGAACATTATGCACATGCATCAATTATGTGCCATAGCAGCGTTATAACACTAACTCTTACACGCCAGGCCCGAAACCAGGGGTAGTCAACCTTGGCTCTTTTATGACTCGTGGACTTCAACTCCCAGAATTCCTGAGCCAGCACAGCTGGCTCAGGAATTCTGGGAGTTGAAGTCCACGAGTCATAAAAGAGCCAAGGTTGACTACCGCTGCCCGAAACGGAGAAGAGTGGAGAGAGTTGTATAAAATGAGCCCGGAAGCTCCAGCTCCTAAGTTAAATTAGTAATCATCTCTTTTTCTACCTCTATGTTGTAAACTAGAAAAGGGTGTCTACATAGAGACGTCAAATGATAGAGCGGCCCTACAACCTTACGAAAAGAAATTCCTAAGCGCGCAAGAGAGTTGCCGATTGATTGCAGTTGCCCGTTGTTGTTGTTGTTTTTAACGCTCGTCGGACTCCTTTTCACGTTGCCACTGTGGCGCCCCTCCCGATCACCAGGGCGCTCAGCGCCTCTCTATCCCTCGATCTTTATGACGAAATGGCCGTCAAGACCAACCGCTCTTCGGAAGAAAGGAAACAAAGTCGCTTCCGTGGCTCGTGCTTTTGGGGGAAACCGGAAGAGGGCCTTTCCTGAGTTGGCGCTTGTGCAAGAGGGTTTTTTTTCCCCCCTTTTCTTTTTCCGCGTGGAGTTCGGTCAGTTTCCTCGGCGTGAGGACTCTGGAAGGGTCGCCATGGAGGCGTCTCCGCGGTCCTCTTCTCCCCATGTCATCTGCGAGGGAGACTGGGCTGTTCTGAAGCGGGGGGACGTGTTCAAAGCGGTCGCCGTGGTGAAACGAAGGTAAGCCGCCTGTTCGGGGGTGAAGCAGAAGCACCTTCATCTTCTGCAACCTTCGGTTTCATTTCGGCCGATTTTCCGGGGAAAGAAGTTCCAGTCCGTTGCTGGAACTGGCCTTTCCATTCTCCCTTATGCAAGAGGGTTTCAAACCTGTGCATAATGGGATAATGTTCACATTAATGAAGTTGGAAAATAGTTTTAAGAAGTGTGTTATATTAAAAAAAAATGTTTTTAGTTAAGAAGAAATATTGCTATTCTAGTGCAGGGGTAGGCAACCTTGGCTCTTTTGTGACTCGTGGACTTCAACTCCCAGAATTCCTGAGCCAGCATGGCTCAGCTTGGAAACTCTCCCTTTCCCTTCAGCATGGCTGGCTCAGGAATTCTGGGAGTTGAAGTCCACGAGTCATAAAAGAGCCAAGGTTGCCTACCCCTGTTCTAGTGGAATTTCAATTTTCTAGAAAGAGGCAGCATTGTTCAATTGTGAAAAGACCGAACCTCATCTCTCTCTTGGCAGTGGAGCTTCACAGGCTGAGGGTACTGAGGGACTTGTAACTTATTGCCTTGAGAGAGAGTTAGAAGTGACTTAGGAATTCATAGCCATCATGACAGTTACCGTCTTTCCCCAAGTTACAGGTGCAAAGTGTACGGAAAGCTGCATATTAGATCTGGTTTCTGATTTCAGATTTCATTTCAGAGCAAAGAACTTTAAGCTGGTCCAGTCGCTAAGGAGTTGTCAGCTAGAATATAAAGGTGGCTGCTACCCAATTAAATTGAAGAGTGTGGAGCCAATTCAAGTTCTCCTCTTAAAAGAAATCCCCTTGTAGGGTTCTTAGAGGCACCCATTTTCAATCATTGCCTCCTTTTAACAAGCGCCAACTTTTGGGGATTCAGAAGAGCAATTAATATCAGATTATATCACTAGAACTTGGAGATAAATTGAAGGTTATGCCTGTGTATGAGTTATAATGGTTTTTAGGTACCCCATCTTCCTGTTCTATTTCGATAAAATGTTTCTATTTTATGGAGTAATCTATTGGTTTTAATCCTATTTATGTATGATTGGATTGTGAGCCAATCCAATTAAAATGATATATAAGCCTAGTAAGATAAATCTTCTTCTGATTTTAATTTACTTGCACCTCTTACTCATAAGCTTTACAGTTATTTCAGCTTACTTGCATTTGAAACTGGAGTTGAATATACTGCAATTCATGTACGCCAGGGGTGTCAAACTGCCGGCCCCGCAGGCTGGTTTCATCATACCGAAGCCGCGCTCACCCCATTGCCGGCAATGCAGAAAAAGTCCCAATATGTCGCGACATGTCACGTGACGTGGCGAGTTTGACACCCGTGATGTACGCCATTTTATTCCTTTTTCAGGTTTTGGGTTGTGAATATTGCTGGGTTCTATGTTTCTAACTGATTTATCAATGCTTTTGTTTTTAGAAAAATTGTTTTTGAAAAACAGTGGTTCTGCTTAGATAATGCCATTGGGCATGTTTATGGAACATCATTTGAAGTGACTAGTGGTGGTAGTCTTCAGCCAAAGCGGACATTAGAAGAGATGAACCCAGGTATGAGTCCACTAGAAATTATTTAGATAGCAGAAGTATGGAATGTGCGTACTTTGATATTATAATCCTGATGCTTTTCTGTAATTCTGATACTTTTCCTGAACAAAGTACAATATGGGGAGGAGGAACAAGGGAAGTATTTTAGTCGCAACTTTTAGTCTATGTGATAAAACCTGCCCAGACTTACCTAAGCACTCAATACATTTTATAAATAATAAAATAATACCTGCCAGTCTTTAGGTCAGCGTCCAAAGATTTTTATCAACATCTATACAAGAAATAAGTTCTTACATTGTTGGCATGAAACTCTGATAAGAATCTTTGCTATCTTATAGACTGCCATGGCTGTGCAAGGGAACATTCTTTTATCCTTGATGAAAATGTGATGTAAAATTTTAAAAGAAAGTTTTTTTATGAGATATATATAACAAAATAGAAGGGTAGATTCAGACTCAAAATTAGATTTACCAGATATATTTGATAGCCAGAACAAAAATTATGAACTAAAAACATTAAATGTCTGTTTTAACATTTAAATTATTAATAAACAATGGCAATATTTAAATAATATCCAAAGTGCTACATTATTTGTTAAGATCTGATTTATAGCATTTACTTGAGAGTTTCCATTGCTTGAGAATACAAAGTAACAAAGCATAATTCTTTCAGGAACACTGTGATGTTATGGTTTATGTAAGAGATAACCATTCTTACAAGGGTCCTATGTGAGAAATTATGGGCAAGCTGAAATATACTAGCATCATTTAAATGTTAAATTTAATCAAGAAATTTTCTAAAAAATCATCTCATCTGACAAAAAACAAAAAACAAAACAGAAGCACAAGTGAAAAGAAGCTACAGTAACACTTCCTTTTGCCTGATAAATAAGTAAAAGGATTTAAGTCATCCTAATTTCCTGTTTTGTTTCCTAGATTATTATGGTACCAGTTAGAAATCACCTATGATTTGAAATATTTTTAAACCTTCAGTAATAGTTCTTACAAGCTTATTATTTTTCTAAATAATATTTCACAAAACTTTGTTTTATTTAGAAACAAAAGAAGCAGGTACAGATAATCGTAATATAATTGATGATGGAAAATCTCAAAAACTGACCCACGATGATATAAAGGCTTTGAAGGATAAAGGCATTAAAGGACAGGTAATCTTGCATTCTCAATTGCATATTATTGCTTCACTTCACAAGTGAATACTTTCTTTTAGAAAGCTATATTGCTAGGAACAGTTACAACTAGAATCCTTTTCAGCTGAAGAATGTGAACAGATGTCATATAGTGATTGAAATTTTAGACTTAAACTGAGGAAGCAACCCCCCAAAAAAGCAGTGGATGACTTTGGACCAGTTGATAGCTTTCAGCCCAATTTGGGCATCAGAGTAGCATTGCAATAAAACTAGGCAAGAACCCCATTTATGCTACCTTTCGTTCCAAAAAAAAGCAGGATATAAATGTATAAAATGTATAAAAGGGCAATTGCTTTTCTATACTACTGGTAAATACAAGCCACTCTTCTAAAAGTCTCAGAGAATTGAAGTATTGAATCTTGGACTATTTCATGTAAAGTATGAACTTTACAACTCAACTCTTTCTCTTGTCTGGTTCTTGACTGGATGATATGTATCATGAATGATCATAATGAATGGAATGCAGCATCCATTTCATTTACATTCAAGACATTGGTACTACTTTTCATGTATAGTTCTCTGAATTCTTTATGGCTAAATGTTAGCCTCACATTTAGTAGATGCATGACTACATTAAGAATAAATATATATTATAAATATATAAGATGTGTATGCGCACGCACACATCTTCAAGTCAATGTTCACTCCTGGCAACTGCCTGGGACAAGTCCCTGAGTTTTCCTGGCACATTTTTTTCTCTCCCTGAAATTGCTTGCTGTTGCCGCCTCCTCAGAGGGTGAGAGTGTGTGACAACTCCAAAATCAACCAGCTGGCTTTATACCTTAGGTGGGATTAGAACTCACAGACTCCTGGTTTCTATTTTGGTACTTTAACCACAACAGCAAACTAGCTTTCCTACTAAATTAAAAAAAAAATTACATGAATGCTCATTAGTCACTGTTTTATGTACTGGGGATTTTTGTGTTTTGTTTTGATTTAAATGCTTTATAAATAACTATGAGAAGAGAATGATTAACCAATCTTTTTTTTTTTTTGAAGGAAATAGTTCAACAATTAATAGAGAATAGCACCACGTTTAGAGACAAAACAGAATTTGCCCAAGATAAATACATCAAAAAAAAGAAAAAGAAGTAAGTTGAATTTTGGAAAACAGATTGTTCGGTGAATCACAAATCATAAGTAGCTTTAACACTGTTTATTTGTACTGCTTTGCTTACAGATATGACGCAGTTATGACCATCATAAAACCATCTACTCGTATACTATCAACAATGTATTATGCAAGAGAACCAGGAAAGATCAAGTAAGGCTTAATGTATTTCATTTATATGGGGAATCTGTTGGACTACATTTAGCAGTAAATGAGTGGACAAATGTCCTCACATCAATAGTTACAAATTGATACAACCAGTCTATAAAACATGAGAATCTTTTCCTGACAGAATATAGTTTGCAATCATCTCTGTGTGTGTGTGTACTTTAAAAAAAAACATAGGAGATTTTGATGGTGGCTACCAACTGGACTAGAATTTGTATTAGTCATATCCTGCATGAATTTCCAGTAGACTTTTCCCCCCTCAAAGCTCTCCTTTTGGTAGATGAAGGCAAAACCTCAGCTGCAGATTTCTGCAGATATCTTTTTCTCATCAGTGCTACATAAACTATGATGGAACCGAAGGTATAATAATGAGTTAAGGCACTTTTCAGCTTCCATCTACAATACTACCCAGGCCTTTGGCGAGAGAGAATGAGACCCTTTGTTTCATTCCATCTGGAATGGACACACTATCTTTTATTGATTGTGTTGTAATTTCTCATTGCACGTTGCCCAGAATCATTGGGAGCTAGGCAACATAAATGTTTAATAAAATATCATTATATCTTTACAGCCAGAATTTGTACTTGCTAAAGATATAAATTAGAACTAGGAATCTGGTATTTCTAATAAAATTTATTGTACTCAAGTATTTTAACTCAACAGCAAAATTAATCTAGTTGTTTGTTTGTTTTTTTCAAAATGTCCTAGCTATTTGCGGTATGATACTCTAGCCCAGATATTAACTTGGGGAAATGTTCACGCTGGCAACAAGATGATAGTAATGGAAACCTGTGCAGGACTGGTGCTAGGAGCTGTAATGGAACGAATGGGAGGTGAGAATAGCAGAATATAACATGTACAACTGGGAGTGTGAACATTTAATAGTAATATTTCTATGGCAGCTTGTGCATTTGATTCTAAAACTGGGAATTTTTTTTACAGTTAAGCAAGATGAGCAGCTTTCTAAGCAAAACATTCATTACAAAATATAAAGATGTCAGAAAAGTAGAGAAATAAGATGCTTTTGGAAAGACAATTGTGATTTGTCCTCCTTTATTTATTTTTGTCTAACTACTATTTTTAGGTTTTATGTAGAAGTAAACAGATAAAGGGAAATCTCTGTTATTGTGAATATAGTTATTACTTGTTAAAAGTGTTCGCTGAATTTAGCTTGGAAGAGTTAGTCAAAATATGGCTGCTTGGATAAGTCGACTGAAATTTTTGGTTTGCTTCTCTTGACTGGTTTTGCCCCATTTCATTTTGCGAATATTTTGGAACTCAGCGGAGCTTCAGAACACCTTTGCTAGATAACATAGGGAACAAGGGAAGGCAGATGCTCTAATACAAAAATGCAGCACCCGACGGAACGGCCAAGTTCAAATAATCTTCCCCTTGTTCATAGTAATTTGAACTGAAATCGCCTGTAGATGCTTGTCTAAAGCTCAACATTTTTTGGATCACGTGAAGAATCCATTACTTGCACAGATGAATGTGTCAGGTGGCCAGTTTTGAAAAACATTCTTTATGATGATGTTAAGCGTTGGAGATGACTTCTGTTTTCTTTCATGCAAGTCACTGCTGTACTTGAGAGAAAATAGTTTGTTTAGATCGTCACAGTGTATTAGTATAAACCTAGTCTTATGCTGGCTGTATTTTACTTTGATCTACACTTGCAGGTTATGGATCGATTGTTCAGATATATCCAGGAGAAGGACCTGTTAGAGCAGCCACAAGTTGTTTTGGATTTCCTAAAACCTTTTTTGACTCTCTCTCTGAGTTCCCCCTCAGCAAAGTGGCCAGCGTTCTGTCTGGAACATTTTCTTTAACATCATTGCCTTCAGTGTCTGAAGAGAACACACCAGTGGCAGAAGACAAAAATGGTTCAGGGGATGACAAGGAACTTTCTAGACCAGAAGTAGACATGGAATGTGGTCCTAAGGTAGCTATGGAGAGCGGTCAACCTGAAGATCAAGAAATGGTGGAATTTACATCGGAGGCACTTGATGATAAAGCCAAGGGGACAGTAAGATCCTGTCATTTTATGATAGTTGAAATTTAATTAAATAATTGAACCCATTGCTATTTAAACAGGTATGCTTCTCAACGCAGAGAGTCACACTGCAGCATCAGTTATTACATGAATGCTTACTCTGTTATGCTTAGCTGCATTATATGTTAATTGCAAGATCTTTTGATAGAAATCAGATTTAATAATAATTAGAAACGTGAATAAGTGCAATGCACTCTGCATTGCTAAATATAGTCATAGCACCAGAGTAATTTTATCCATTGTGAAATATTTTTGGAGTAATTGTGATTTCTGTTCACGTTAAGTCAGCTATAAGTTAAAATATCTCGGGCTGTAAAGCTGATACATAGCAATGTAAGTAAAGTTAGAATTAGGATGTTAGATAATTGACTTTATTGCAATGTTTAACACAAGTACTTGTTTAGCAAAATATTTAATCATTTAAAGTATTTCAGGTTGAAGCACTAGAATACGTTTTGTCATTTTTAACCATTCTACTTTTATCTTTCAAATAGACCTTTAAATCTGAGGAAGGAATTAGAAAGTTAAGTCCAAACCAGCCTATAAATGTGTGTATTTTTGCAAAATATTACAGAAATAAAGGTTTTTAGACCCTCTCTAGTTCTTAAAACCATTTAGCCTGAATTTATTCATATTTTTAGACACATGACAAACAAAAGAAACAGGAGGAAAAGAAGAGAAAGCTGATAGAAGCTGCTGCTTTGTTGAAAAACAAGGATGCTGATGGGTGAGAGTTCGGTTGTTGTATTGAACACGTCCAGAAATATCTTGCTTTATAATTGCTTTCAAAAAAAGAATTTGCCATTCTAAAAATGTAATTGGATGTTAGTGTTCGTAGTAAATAAAGGAATACTTGTCTATTTATCTTGAAGCCTATAGCCAAGGCTTAGCCCTTTCTGGGTTTCCCTTTTTTCATTAGCTTGTTAAATTTCTGTGTTAGATCGAAAGATGCTGTAAATCAGTGGTTCTCAACCTGTGGGTCGGGACCCCATTTGGGGTCGATCGACCATTTCATGGGGGTCGCCAAGCAAGGCTGTCCGCCATTTTTTTGTCCGCCATTTTTTCCCCTTTTCCAGCAGGTGCCTTACCTCCCTTGGGCTGGGCCAGCTGGGGGTCGGCCTGCTCCGTCTCTGCCGCTTGCCACCTACGCCTCGGCCGGCGCAGGGGGCGGAACCACGCATGCGCAGCGCTCCCGGGCAGGGAAAGTCCTCGACTTACGACCGGTTGGGTAGTCCTCGACTTACGAGCGGTTTAGTCCTCGACTTACGACCGGTTTAGTCCTCGACTTACGAGCGGTTGGGGTCGCGGCATTAAAAAGGTTGAGAACCACTGCTGTAAATGGTCAAAATATTTTCAACACTGAAAGGATGAAAACAACCTATGCCATTCCTATGACGGAGAGGATTTGTCCCTACATCAGCTGTGATGAATGGCTCAGCCTGTCTGTAGGGTTAATGCTAAAAGCCCTTATATATAAGGAAAATAACCAAGGCGTTAAAAGATGGTTCAGATCTAGAATAAAGTTGAGGAAATTCATGAAAGTTTTTTGTTCCTAATCTGTATCGGACAAAGCCTCTCTAATGTGGCCCTCCTTAATGTGGGCAGAACATTTCTTCAAATTTTGGCAAACCGCCTGGTTTTACATCACTGTAACTTGCAGTCTTTTCCTTTTTTTTTTTAGATTTAATCTGGGATTCAGACTGTTTTTATATCTGTGTACAAATGTGGAACAAAATAAACTTTGCCAGACTTTTAGATACATTTTTCATAGCCAAAAAAGGTAACAGCTTTGATGTTTGGAAATGCAGCTAACCTTTGTCTATCTTTCCATTAACAGTTTAATTGTAGCCAGTCGATTTCATCCGGCAAGTTTATTGCTCCTCTTGTTAGAGCTGGTAGCTCCTTCGAGGCCTTTTGTTGTCTACTGTCAATATAAAGAGGTGAACCCAATGTATTTTCTTAACTTAAATCTTTTTTAAAAAAAAATTCAGTAAGCTCATATAATCAGATTTTCTTGTTTTAGCCACTACTGGAATGTTACGCAAAACTGAGAGAGAAAGGTGGCGTCATTAATCTGAAACTTTCTGAAACATGGTTACGAAACTATCAGGTAAGAATCACAAACATATATGTACCATAGAAAATGCAAGTAAATCAGGGAAATTATGCATCTCTGGTGAAATGTATATTTAAAATTATGAAATGGGGGGGAATCTTCTATATAAATAAAAATGTAAATGTTCGTTTGTTCAAAATCTTAAATCTCCAATTGCTTTGAAATTTTGACACAACGTTGCATTCGAATACGCGTGTGTTTTTATATACCGTACCTACTATTATATAGATATCACACCTGTGACAGGCATTGTGAAATTAAACATATTAGAAACGTGCGCTTTGTCTTTTCTTTCTTTTCCATTTAACCAGACTGAGCCACAGCAACGCGTGGCCGGGTACAGCTAGTAGAAAATAAATCATTGTTGAATCTATGCAAAGTAATTTCATATTATAAGTATTCTCTTTGATTATCCACTGACAAACCTGCCACTCATTGTAATATTTTATCCTGTATTGTTAATGTATTTTTATTTCAATTCTGGTCAATGATCTAATAAAAATATTCAATTGTTCAATTTGATGTTATCATTGATTCATAACTGATCAATGTCGAATAATGGTAAGAATTTCTTTTTCTGAAATTTCTGCAAGGTAAATCTAAATGGCATTGAGGGTCTGCTTTTCACACTTTTTATCTAATATGCGTCCTCTGGAAATCTTTTATTGATGTCTGATCCATGAGCCTCACAGAACGTGCTATTTAGTCCTGCAATTGTTACGTAGCTTATTTGCCATTTCTTATTTTTTGTTCAGATCTTGCCAGATCGAAGTCATCCCAAATTGATAATGAGTGGTGGCGGTGGGTACCTACTGACAGGTATCACTGTTAAAAATGAAAGCATAAATACCAGTGACTGCTTAGACGAGCCATCCACTAAAAAGCGTAAGCTTCAAGAGCACCATTAATGCCTCAAGAAATTGTCCTTGTGTTCTGTTATTAACTGTATTTAAAGGCACAGCGGAATGCACTTTGTTCTTTTCTAAATCGGTCAGATTCAGCCAAATGTTTTTGTTGCCAATGTCATTCCAGACTCAGGTAGTCCCCGTAACATAATGGAGTTTTATTTTAGAAGGATATGATTAAGAATCAGTCTTCCTGAAAATGTTGCAAAAATTGCAACTGAAATCCCAACTTGGTTGTGTTTCAGAATTTTATTTTCAATTCAGAAACCATGTTCTTACTAATCCCATTAGTAAGATTTTTTTTTTAACTAAGGTTTTTTTTTAACTAAGTGAAATAAATGTACTATTATCAGTGAGAGAGGCAAGACTGATGCTAGACTATTGCACATTTTAACCATTCTGAATTTTTAAAAAAGTAAACATCGCATATTGCTTCAGAAATGTGAAAGTAACGCTAGCCTGTTTTCACTGAGCACTTTTTAAAAAAGAAAAGAAAAACTGGTTTCCATCTTTTTAACATGTGATAACTATTTTTATGTGGAGTTTTTAATCTGTAAATCTGCATTTCAATAAATTATATTGTTTTGTAGTACATGCATTATTTTTTTCTTTTAAGCAGGAAAGTATTGTTAAAATAAGAAGCCTTCTGGATGGCAACCAAACTGTTGTGTTTCCCAATGTGCTTGTTGTCCCCCAAAGTTCACCTACCATTGTGCTGGGCTCTGCATTATCTTGTATTTGTGAATTGACCCCCATTCACCCAAATTCAAACAACATCTAGCCAGATATGTATGTCAGTAGGGGCCACTAAATTCTTGAAGCACTCTGGGGAGTCACAAGATTTAGAACATTGATCATATCTTTCAGTTTTGATTTTGGATCTGTTGCTGCTTTTGCAACTTGATTTATTTCTTCGGTTCTTAGCACCTGTACATTGCTTTTATAAGCTGTCTTGAATGGCTCAGGGATAGAAAGTTAAGGTATAAAGCGACTAATAAAGAAAAAAGAGACAGATCCATTTTAAAGAGATATAAAAAGAGATCCTTGAAATAGATTGATTTGATTGAAGAAACTGCAGGCCAGTGTGGTAATCCTTCCATACATGTGCTCTAAATCACTTTTTCCCCTTTGAATCCAGATCATAGAGCAATCCTTTGTTTTTAATTTAAAAAGATAATCAACCATCAACTTTAAGACTTGGCTTTTCCCCACAAGCATTTGGGGCTGGTTGAATGGGATTCCCCTTCAGCTGTTTCTATTATGGTACTTGATTCCAACTTATATTCTGTATTTCATATTTATACAGTATATCATGTATGTTTTAATGTTACATGGTTCTTTTTTTTGGATGTTTTTTTTTGTTATCGAACTGCCTGGAATCACATTGTTTGAGCAGCCTTATGAATCTGGTAAATAAATAAATAAACAAGAGGAAGAGGAAGACTGGGCAATGTTTTGTTACAATGGGGCCAAATGAGCGGTACTTACAACTGGTCCTTGGAGGTCTGGCATCACAGCGGCCCCACGGTTGCATGATTACATTCTGAGTGCTTAGCACCCAGCTCACAATTATGATATTGCAGTGAGCTGCGGTCATGTGATCCTGAATTCTGGGGTTCCCTGCCAGTATCCGACAAAAATATCAGTGGGAAAGCTGGCAGGAAGTTGGAAGTTGTGGTCACATGAATTCCTTGCTTAATGACAATATCTGGGACTGCTGGAATTACTGTTACTATGTGATGCAGTCATGTGACTCCATGCTTTATGACAAGTTACTTTGCAACAGCAATTTTAGTCTCCATTGCCATTATAAGGTGAGGATTACTCATTACTCATACCCATACAAAAATTCCTATAAACCCTATAAAAAAACACTTAGAAAATAAATAAATAAAAATCTAGCCCCCACTTGGCTGCATTATGATTGCATCCACCGCAGAGCTTGGTTTGTCTAAGTAGTTAAATTAAAGCAGTGACCGGGTTGTGTGTGTAAAAATACTTATTATGCCATGAAACTTGGTAATAACCAACTATGTCACTCAAATGTATCACAGCAAGGCTGAAAAAGCAATGCTTTGGAGTTTTGCTTTTTTTTTTTTTCTATACCCACATCAAAAGTCTTGCTGGGTAAATATGTAAATTGTTTTACAAAGCAATTTAAATACTTGAAATTGGTGTTGGAGAAGACTTTTGAGTATACCATGGACAGCCAAGAAAGCAAACAAATGGGTCATCAAACAAATCAACCCAGAATTGTCACTCAAGACAAAATGACAAGGTACAGTTTTTCGTACTTTGGACATATTTGGTGAAGATCCAGCTCTCTGGAAAAGACTAGTGCTGGGAAAGGTGGAAGGAAAGAGAAGAACAGGATGACCAGCAGCAAGGTGGATGGACTCAGTTACAGTGACAATGAATGCACCATCTGAAGACTTGTAAGACCAGATAAGAGGTAGATTGTCATAGAGAAAATTAAAAGGTGATATTGACGTGATGGAACATAACAAAAGCTTTCATCTCATTGGTTGACATAGGTAAGTGCCTCAAGCCTTATGCAAATATTTTTAGTAGTCAGACTATAATAGTATCCCATGTATGATGTTAGCTAACTTAAAAGCATTTCAGCAGAATGGAACAGTTTAAAACCCTGTGGCATTCTAATTTTAATAACAGTGAAATCTATAATGTAATCTAACACCTGAAACTTGGGGCCCAAACATCAAAATGTATGTTTATTTCTCAGCTCAGTTGTGAAGATCATTCTGGCCCCTGAACAATTTTGTCTAATCAGTTTCACTAAGCATGTAAGCATTGACTAGCTAAGCTCCTGTGAGAGTCGCATGTAGCATAGCCCATAAAACCTGAAAGTGTTATTACTTTAACATTGGGGAGTTGTTCCCCCATACACTTCACTGATCTAGGAAAAAGGCAGTCTATCAATGCAACAAAGGCATAGTTTACATATACACTGCAGTGCAAAATCAACTTTGAGACACTCATTCCCCTGGAAAATATCCTGTGAATCCAGGTTATTAGCCTACTTTCTCAGAAAGATTTTAATCTTTCTCATTTGAGTTAAGAGTAGGAAAAAAAATCACTTGGAATTGATTCCCCAACCAATTTGGCCTTGAAAAAGCAGAAGGACCATTCATTTATGCTCATGAGGCGAAGCAATATTTCCAACATACAGTAGGTGGCAATCAGGGAATCAAGAATAGAGAATGCTAGTGATAATAAATGACCTATGAAAATATATACTCATTTAACTTTTTAATTAAATGTTTAATACGTTAGATATTTGTGTGATATTTGGTTTGGAATTTTGAAGCCAGAATGCCTTTGGCTAGCAGGCCTTAGTCCTGAAATCTTAAGTTGTAATCAGTGCAGTACAGGGTTTTTTTTCTAATAAAAAAATCATTGATACTACTGGTGTTTTTTGAGAATAACAAAACCTGCTCACTTTTATATAAAGGCTTCATAGCATTTTCCAGGCCTATTATCAAAACTAATAAAAACAATCTCCTTAAGTACTACTGGAATTAACTGCTATAAAATAAAAGTTGGAAGTTCTGAGAAATTCTTCATCAGCATCAGAATATGATGAAAAGCAGACATTTTATTCTGTTGAATACCTCACTAGCATAATTCCTTCAGATATTCTGATACTACCAGATGGTTAAGATTCCATTTTGTTTTAAAACTGGGGTATCTCTAACATTTATATTTCTTGAGTAGTGTGGTGAGGACCATACTGCCAAAAGTGGATGAGCCCAAAATAAAGTTGATGATTGTATAAATAAAAATTAAATGCATATGAAATTAAAATTAATTACTGTAAATGCTGTGAACATTTAGTTTCTTTTAAGCCCACCTCTATTAAATTTATAAATAACTGAAGACAGCAATTATGTAGCTAACCACTTATGTCTCAATGACTTTAAAAATACAGTCCCATAGAAACTTTGGGGATAGTTTAAAAACCACATTCAATGCTTTTATGAGAGAGCTGCAGTCAGTGTACCTTTTTCATAAGCTGTGAGACTTCAGTTTGTTTTATAACAATATAGGAATAGATGGTGCATCTATTTTGGTGCTGTCAGCCTCCCAAAGTAGATTTTAAGGTACTATAGAATATACTAATTTTATAAGGAACAAAAAATTAGTTCCAATATAGACTTACAAGCATGTTACTGTGTCTCCTCTGATGAATCTAACTGTGTAAATCATAAACAAGCTATGCAGGAGCACATGCAGTTAACTATATAGACAATGTAAAGTTTATTATTTTGTACCGAGATAATATATTTCTGAAGAACGCACACACAATTATCCTCATACATTTCAAAATTCAGAAGGCAAAAATTCATGCTGATCTGAACAAATCTTTTAGAACAGAAGGATGCTTTGTACTGGTATAAAGTATATATTTAAAGGATAAACTATTTCTAATTAGGGAGAAGAACAACATTTGAGGCAGTGACTTTACTAGTAAATATGGGATACTTTAAATAAAACTACTCTTCACCATACCACATTACGTCAAATAAAATTTATCCTCTCTGATTATTGTTGAATTTTTCAGCTATCTTCTGCAGCTCCAAATCCATAGCAGCCAGGTTTTCCAATTCTTTCTCCTGTAATAATGGGGGGAAAAAATCCATGTAGTTTATAAAGGCATAGATCACTTTTTATTCTGAGAATTTGACTGTTAGAAATTCATGCAATTGTACTGCTTAGTGATCTTATTTGATTTAGATTTAATTAGATTTGATCATGGCTCATATGCAAGTATTATATTTGGATTTTTAACTCTAATGTAGCCCTAGTTACTTTTCCTGGTTCTTCCAATAGCCTTTCCTATTAAGGCTGTATAAAGTGGGCAACATGGCTGTGTATGCACACCTGTGTGGGGACATCCGGGAGCTCCTTTCACAACAATCAAGAAATTGATCAGAAAAAAGTACTCAAGATCCTATAAAACTAAGCATTCTATCTTACTAGATTTTAATTATCTATGTAGCATTTGCAAAATACTTTAAAATGTGATTTTATTGCAATAAAATTAAATTTTGTAAATGCATAATCTCATAGATTATTATTTTTTTACTTTAAACCAGATTATCTCCATTATGCAAGTAGTATATACTCAAGGTCCACTTTCTGCATGAAAATCTTAGTTTCCATGTCCCAAACTTTACTCAGGAAAACTGAGAAAGGAAAATTAGGGGAGAGCTTCTAAATACTCATGCATTCTATTTTTGTGATTCATGTGATCCGTTTCCGTAAGGAGAGCACGATGAAATTAATCTTACTTTCCATCAAAGCATAGTGATGATTCCTAGACATGGAGATCAACCATGTGATGTTAACCTGTGCCATTATGTCTGTGTTCTGTAGTAACTCATATTTTTTTTAATTTGGCTTAGTATTTATAGGGAACTGCAGTTTCTCTAGGAATCAGTTTGTAAGTGCCAAATGTTTTATGTTTTGCAAAAAGGATCAGAAATCATCTTCATGCTTTTCTTCAGATTTTTAATTCTCTGCATCGACATAGTGTTAAGAATATTTGGCACTGATCATTTGTCAAGTTATGTGGTGGGATAGTTTTTCCAGAACATGATCTTATAGTATGGCAGTTATGTCACTCCATGCACACTTGCTTGTTCAGTTATTTCAGTGAGACATGGTATACCACGTTGTGTAATATTGAAAATCAGGATGTGTCATTCTGACTATTTCTAAGTAGGAGGTATGGTAGGAAATGAAGCCTGCAGCCCAGAATTAAAATGAATATGTTAATAGAACAGAACAACAGATTTAAAATGAAAAATTGGTTACTAAATTTTAAACAGGTTGCTACTATGATGATATAGTGTTGGGTGTCATGCAGCTAAGCTTGTATGTATGTGTGTACACAGATGTATCTTGCTGAGTAAAATCTTAGGTGACTGGCCTGGGTCAAAGTACTGTATTCCCTATTCTGCATTTTGGGAACATAAAACACTTGCCTGTCTTAGCAGTAGATACCAGTCCAGAAACGCAGCTATTTTAACAAGATCAATTTAAAGCAAGAAGAATGAGCCTAGTTGTTTATAATCTGAAAGCCTTTGATTTAAAAAAAACCAAACACTTCCTGGAGCTTAATCACATTTTGTTCAGGTATTTTGTAAGAAATGAAACCAGAATTAAGGTTTTAACTCTAGCTTGGCCTATAACTAAAAATATTGTTACAGATTATCCCCAGAAGAAAGTTCTTTGCAGAAAATTGGTCACCTGTTCTTGCCTTAACTATCTGGCCTGTGCTTTGCCATGCCATGACAAAGAAGTTGATTTAAACAGGGATTAAGTAGATTGTACAATCCTGGATATATTCATTTCAAATAAGTTAAATGGAGTCTAACACGTTCTAA